ACTCCCCACTCCCAGAATTACATCAATATCATCGAGTAAATTCATAAGTTCACGTACAGCCTGCTGTAGACTGTGTACCATATTGAACTGTCGTGGCATACGTTTTGCCGAGACGCAGTGTGCGGAAATCTCTGTCCCCCAAGTATATATAGCTATCCTTAGCTGGTAATACCTTCTCTGCGGATGCCTGAGTATTAATAGAGTGGTTCGCCCCCGTGCCAACGAGTGTGCACATCGCATGTCCGTTTGCTTGTAAAGTAACATATACACGGTTGTCGGTAGAGAACAACTTATCTTTTACGGCAAATATATTTGTCGCCGTACGACCAAACGTTACGCACACGTTCAACTCAGACACCCCAACATTTCAATTTGCACTTGTCTCTCTTCCCAGTCGGCTGGTCCTTGGGCGGCCTCCACCAACTTATCTTCGCTGTCTACGTATGACTCGTCGACCAAATCATGAATATGCATCACCTCACTCTCTCCTACTTCTGCTGGCGTAGAATCAGGCATCTGATCATCCCCATCTACTAGACTAACTCGAGGACGGAAGTTATTACCCGACACCTGTTGTGTACGTGTGGATGTACCCACAGCCGATGCACGATGTGGAGGCGCACCCCCATGTGGTGTATGGCTGCCTGTGTTGGTTGATGTTGGCGCTCTCTGTATCTTAGGACAGCGTGGTGCGTGCGCTGGGCCAAGAATTCTACTCACATGGCCGACAACGAGCCCGAGGGTTTGATGCTGGTGGTGCATGCTGGCTGGCTCGCATGTCCGCCTCCACACGCCCTCGTGTGCGTGAACGTGATCCCCTTGGAATTTGTACTGGCCGAGAAAGATTTGCCCGACGGTGTTCTTCTGCCTTGTCAATATTCACCCGAAATACATCACGCATTTGTTCCGCGGAATATTTTCGTCAGTTCGAGTGCATACGAAGGGTATCACTGTAATATGCTTCCCCGCAGCTTGACCTATTAGGTTGAGCATACCATGATTGCGATATACTTGTAGCGGATTCTTATATTGTCGCATCTCCATTAGGTCTACTTTGCGTTCAAAATCCCGAAGTTTTATCTCCAGTGGCACCAAAGGGTTTAACTTCATGCAAGCCAACACATTTCTGTATGCGTTATTCTCCAGATCTTGTTCGGGTGTGCGTACAATATGAGTAGTGGCGTCCTAAAACGACATGGACTGCAATTTTTGTTCGTTCTCTGCCACGATAAAATCTAATAACGCCTTGGGTGCCTCTTCTTTCTGGAGTGTCCCATGTAGACCCTTGCGAAATTTCGCATTTTTATGCCAATCCAAAATAGACACATGGAGCTGTATCTTCTGCGGGTTATCCAAATAATAGCTACCCTGCGGATTGGGTGGTCATTCCTTTGACGTCCGTTTGTGGACCGTTATCGAGCATGTCTTCAACGTCTCATTAGATGTGCGAATTGAACGGGCGTCCTCTGTGCTCCCCTCAGCTTCTGCTTGCATCATACGTTGGGTGAGATGGAATACCTGCATTTTCATCTCTGCTGCGGTAGATTCGGTGATGTGATCGTGAATAGGCTGTTGTCGTGGAGATTTTACTACTCTGCGAAATGCATCAAAGGACCGCTTCGCCGATGATTACAAATTTTGACGGGTACATAGCCATGTCCAAATGCAAGTTTGCTAGGTCCCAAGCAATTCTATCAGGGGATTTCACTACAGCTGACGACTCCTGATTACGGTTAAAATTCCCAAATTCGATTGGCGTCACTTCTGGTGTCGAAATTGCTTGTACTCGATTATGAACGTAGTTCAGCATCCGTCCTTGTAAACTTCGATGGAAATTACTAGGTTTCAAACTATATTAAACTAAAATACAATTTAGTCA